AAATAGAAACTGAGAACTAGAATATTCTCCAAAGCATTAATTGTCTTGGGAATTTTGTTGTTGTTCACAAATCAGGAGTTATATTGTTGTCGTAGAAGAGAAAAGGCAGAAGAAAAAGCGTGATTTAGAAAAGAATATGTATATTACAGCATCGTTTCCACTGAATGAAATCCCTGATCAACTTATAGTGGGTGACGGTATGGAATATAATGGTTATATCAATAAACCATTAACACCGGGACAACATTATGTCATATATGATGGGGTTGCAGTATATACTACAGGGGTAAGATAATCAGTATATAATGATTGGGATTCTAATTAATTTCAATCTATGAAATAACTTATGGTTGGTGATGGTATAGAATATACACATGTGAGCTTGCCAAAATGAACCAATGTTACCACAATCCTTAGTTATTGGACTGAATAAAAAAACGAAAACAAAAACAAATTATGCATGTAATAAACCATTATATTAGTCCCATATTCTGATTTTATATGCCCGAATGTGCTCATTGAATATGGTCCTTGTTTTTGACTCTTTGCAGTTAGTGCGTCTGTGTCTGTGTATGCATGTGTAGTACCAGCGTTGTAACGACTTCAATTTAATTGTACACCGACTTGTGACGACAGGACCTACATGGTTGTGACCCTCACTATTTTCAGTCACAAGATATTCAACTTGTATTAGTCCCCGTTCGGACGCAATCCGAAAACAGGGACTTATGTTTTGACCTTTGTGCGTCCGTGTGTCCGTATGTGCGTCCGGACCTGTATCTTAGACATGCCTATACCAAACACAATCAAACCTCACACATACATCATACATGATATTATACATATGCACATCAATTTGTTTCATTATCTGATTCAAGATGGCCGAATGGTGGCAATTTTTGTGCTGAAAAATCGTCAAAAGCAAACATTTATGGATGGATTTTGTTTAAACATGGTACATATGTTTGACGATCAGATACAAGATGTCAATCATTTTAATGTTAAAAAATTATCATAATCAAGCATCATCTTCCGGGTCCTTATATTGTACTTCTGACATGTTTATGTTTGAACTATATTACTATAAACAAAACTATATATCTTAAATTTGATAACTAACAGGGAATGTACAATGCATGGCTTGTTTAATTAAACTTGTAATAATTAAAATGCATTTCTATGTTGAATTCCATTGTAATTGAATTTAACTGAACTCCAATTGAAATGCAACCCTATATAGGAATGCATTTTAATCGAGTTCATATCGCAACTATATTAGAAGTTAATTCAACTATATTTAAAGTTGGATTTTGATGAAACTCGAAACAAATATGCTCTGGACTAATGCACAGATTTGAACCATATGCATATTTATTACCAAATTTGCATAACTAGTTTATTTTCGGCTTTTTTACTGGTATCTCAATTATTAATCATCACATTTCAACTCGGTACTTAAATGTCATAAGACAATGCACAGACCGTATTAGTTTTAGGTTAATGATATTTGCATATTAATTCCCTAATTAGATTAATTATTCAATTTTCAGCTTTTGCACTGGTATCTCAAATACTAATCATCACATTTCAAAAAAAAAAAAACTTGATACATAGATGCCATAGGACAATGCACATACCTGGTTAGTTTTGGGTTGAAATCTTTGCATATTAATTACCTGATTTGCATAATAATTGGTAATTTTTCAGCTTTTCCATCACTATCTCAAGTACTTATCATCTCATTTCAATGAATCTTGGTACATATATACTTTTCAAACAATACGAAGATGTAATTAGTTTTGGGTTTATTTACATCCATGATAATTCAGCTTTCCACCATTTTTTTAGGATTGATCACATAATGAAATGTGCACCCTGGAACAATACACAGATCTAAATTCATGCATAATAATTGATTAATTTGTATAATATTTCATTTGGTTCATTGGGGTAATCCACAGACATTAGTTTAATGTTGAAACACATGCATATTGATTATCGTATTATTAGCCCATTTCTGATAACTAAACAAATCAGATTTAAAGTGAATTTGTCACTGAGATGCTCTGATACTAATTAAACTGAAAACCACACAATGTAAAATGAAATTTACTGCAAGTATTATAGATTTTGATAATGTATAATCATATAGTTTTCATGTTGTGGCTAACAAATATTAGTTGCCAAGCTAATATAGTTTGAATATAGTTTGAATGGCTAATCTTAAATTTTGAACAAATTGTAATGTGTCTCTAATATTCCCAAAACACGAGAGTTCTTTGTAAGCTTATTTGTTATTAAGATTGTCTGTTGTCGTCGATATCATTAGTATAATTGAAGCTGGTCTCTTCATGCATAGCATGTCCATAGCCATATCACATTATGTTTCGTTATTTTGCAGGTGGAAGAAATATTATTGACAGATGAACCAATAACATCATTTAAAGGTACATGCTTTTTGTAATGTATTGCTGGCTGGTATACGGCTATACATGTAGCCTTGAAATGTTATCGTTATCATTGTTTAAGTACTACATTATGGGGTGAGAATACCGCCAAAATTAGCTTGGTGTCATTATTTGAACATTGTTTAGTTGTTTGGTCTTTATTTGGAAACTAGTTTGGTTATTATTTGGTCATTATTCGGTTATTTGGTCTTTATTTAAACAACATTTTGCTCTTATTTCATTATTGTGTTATTACTGCAGCATCGTATTGCTATTGTTTCATTATTTCAACTTTATTTCTTAATTATTACATTATTGTGTAATTGCTACAATATTATTTTGTCATTGTTTCATTATGTTACAATTGTTTCGTTATTTAGACATTATCTTGACATTCAATTGTCATAAGATTCGGTTATTTTCACGTCCAAATGTCTTGACATTCAGGTCGCTTAACTTGCGATTACCTGAACATTCGGTTCGCTTGACTTGCGATTACCTCAACATTCGATTACCTGACCTACATTAGCTGACCCCGCTATACATGTAGTATTCAATCCATAGTCCCGGGCCGCCTCCGATAAAGCATTGCTCAAGATGGCAATGCGGTCTTTGTAAAAGTTAGCGGGAATTTCTAAATAATGGTCGTTTCATCAACATCCAGGGAAATGACTGAGGTCGTCAGAGCCTGCCGTGACGCAATACATGTATCAAATGCCGCAAACTTGGTTAGAGAATATTACTTCTCCATATGCGACGACTGAAGTGAGGAAGAATTATTACACAGTTGATCGTGACACGGTCAATAACCGGCCTTTCATCAGACTTGGTAGTGCCATCACAGTTATTTTTTTTTAGTAAAAGTTGAACCATGTATCATTCTGATTCTCATTCCCCGGCCTCTCTTATTTCAGGTACTTATTGACAGACATATTCCTGTTATGGGCGTGATTTTTTACGTTCACTCCATAATTGTCAAGATGCCGATATATTTGTACGTCTAATTTGTAGCGCGCCATTCATTTCATGGCGCTACGAAATCGGATGTCTTCGTTGGTAACAACTGCATTGGCAATGAATTTGTGGGTTTCATTGCCAATAGCAATCACGTCAGTGTCACGAGAGTTTTTCGCCAGCCATGCCTCGCATCTGCAGTAATCATAATTATGCTGTCTTCGAGGTTTTCGTAAATGTCGACTTCCTCTCGCAAAGCAGTTTCATGGTTTCAATTTTGTTTTGATTCGATTTATGTGAATGTCTCCTCCGTCAAATTCCCCATATATTACTGGCCAAAGTAGCCTATTCCAAAGATTGACAAAACCCAATTCTGTAGTTGACTAGAAATTTGCTATTTTGTAGACGGGGAGCTGAATTCCATTGAAATGCATGCCCCGGACAAAACGGGTTTTCATAAGTTGCGCCATGGACTAAATAAACTGAGCTGCAGTTGTAACTGTGAAATTTCGCTTGCTGCTCAATGTTCTCGATAGATGAAACTGTGGTTATAAACATTTGCTGCTTAGTATCACCACACAATGTATTTACGTAATTTCCAGAAATATCAGTATGTGTGGGCGGGATTCATTCGTTTTATCGATCTTTATATATATCCTTTGACGGCTTATAGAATAATGTATGTTTGTGTTTATTCATATCACATTTTTTGACAGTATACTTCTTAGACTCATCATTTCATAACCATATGTTTTCTCCGTATTTCATTTTATGCATGGGAAACTACTAGTAAGCACACCGAGCATTAATTTGGCCAATATTTGTTCGAACATCGGATTAAACACCGTATTTCTATTGGGTCAACGAGAACGCATCCGCCCTAACAAATTTTAATCGACGGGATCTATGGCAACGTTGTGCGTTTTTGGCACTCGTTTTAGTTCACATCTGTAATCCAGATGGGGCGGGACGAAATTTTGAATCGGGGGAGAGATCTGCTGACAAACTCTAGGAGGTCCGGGGGCATGCAAAAATCTGAAATCTGGACCCTCTAAAACGCTATTTCCTGCATTTTGAGGGGAAAATTTTGCTGACACAAAGGGTTTCCGCTTTTGGAGGGGCGACGCCCCCAACATTTTCTTCGTGGGGCGACCGCTGCCACTGTGTACGTATGCCATTGAAGAATAAATCGAGGTTGAGTTGCAATTTTCACGACGTGTCCGTTTCAGTTTCACTGCTAAGAAGATCGAACCCCTCACACATACGCGGGTCATAGTTTGGAGTAAATTCATATCGTTTTCTAACGAAACTAAACTAAATGGTCCTTTTTAGGGCCACCATATCTTCCCAAAAGAGTGATACCGTACTAAAAATTACATAATTTTATTATATTCACACAGAAGTAATAAACTGTCACACATACTCGCCGCGACTGACAAATTACTCTTTGTGTGGAGTATAAACAAGGAAAAATTATCTCTGCGTGTTTTTTCCGTGTCCCTAAATCTTTTGAATGAAATAAAAAAAACACCGATGCACGCATGTCAATGTTACTATAGTAGTCTGAGATGTTATGACTTAGGGTTAGAAGTACTTTAGGATCAACTACTAGTATCTTATTTCGGGCTCGAAAAGACTAATTGATATAGAGGAAAATACTTTAATTTAGGTGGAATTAATTTTCGCTGTTATTTCCCCCCGGCAATGTGTGTTTTTTTAATTATACCCTGCCTGGCTGTTTTGCCCGACCTGCGATATTTGTTATGTAAGTACCCTACTCACTAAAAA